AGAGAGGCCGTGACCAATTTCAGTTGTTCAAAAGCTTCTTACAGATTCTAGGGATGTAGATGAGGGTCTAGAGTATTATCAATCGGTTGGTCTATCAGAGGATTTGCCGCTCTTGCAAAAGCTGGAATCCACTGTGGAAAATATCCAACTTGTCCCCCAAATTGTTGCTTTTGTTGTTGTTGCTGTAGCTGTAGGCTACTTCGTCTGAAAATTTGGCTAACGCCCACATTCTAACACTTTGTGGTCTTCCGCGATAAACACCCTAGTTGACCCCAGTTTGGCAACAATGCGGTTTGTCTAGTGAGGCCGCATGTCCCTGCCAGGTGAGGAATTTCAAGAAGCCAAAGTATCAGTTTAGCATCACTCTTTAGTTTCTGAAGCTACCAGCAAATCATCCCCGTACCGAATAATTATAGATCACTCGGTGAAAGCTATCCCCAAGATGGCGAGACGAAACAGTGGAAGTCTCCACGCGCCCGAGGATTCCTTTGCTATAAACACTGGACTCCTTCAGAGGTGAGGGGAAAGGGGGATTTGAACTCATTAGCTAGAGGAACAGAGGAAAAAGAAAACAGCAGAATGTAGAGAAAAACCGCAGGCGACAGAATCAAAGTCAGTAAAGTTGCAGGCAGACCACAGGGCTCATTGAGATGGCAAATTCATTCACCTCTCTGAGATCTGGTACAAAGCCCTATAGGGGCCAACCCTCTACCTCCTGGCCACCCTCCCTGCTTGCTGGAGGTATGGGAATATGACAGAGTGAGCATCCCATTGAAAAAATCATGGCTCGTTTTCTAATTTTTGTTAATAACTTGTTTGATTTTCTCTAGTTGAGCCCTTGACAAAGGATCTTGTTTTACACATGGCCATGGCTTATCCTTTGTGGTAAGCCTTTTTTTTTTTTTCTTTATGAGTTCTACATCTCCAGTTAAACCAGGATACCAATTTCCAAGGCCCCAAAGGGGTGCATGGGTCTGCTTCAGCGGGGCACTTTTCCATCGTGGTCTGAGACTGCCACTGTTAGTCCCGTTCTCTTTCAGAAGGCACAAAACGTTGGCCTTTTGTCCAGGGAGGTCCACAAACACTCCATCAGAGCACAGAATCTGGTAGGCTTCCACGTGCACGGCAAGCATCTCCCCTGCGGATTTACTGGGGAATCAGGAGAGTAAGAATGCCTATTCCTCAGTCAGGGAGGGAACCACAGAGAAAGAGGAACGGTTGAGAAGAACGCTTGCTTTTGGGTGGAGTCTTTTAAAAAATGACAATTAGGTCAACATTGTTTACAGCGTGGCTAAACCTTCTGTATCCATTCCGATTTTATCTACGATTATCAACTACTGGGAGAGGGATGTGAACATTTCTAACTATAATGGTGGATTATTTATAAATATATTCTAAATAGAATATGCATAAATGGTGGTCTACTTCTGGAAGTTCTATCAGTGTTTGCTTCATGCATTTTGAAGTCCTGCTATTTAAGGGTGTGCATAATCAGGAACGTCATGTCCTCCCTTGAATGCAGCATCACGACATGTTTCTCTGTCACCCTGCTAATAGTCCTTTTGTGGTCTGCTGTGTCTGATACAGGTACAACTACTTCATGTGTGTATTATGTAGTTTGTGGCTGGTATATCTCTTTCATTCTTTCACTTTTAACCAGCTGTGTCTTTATATTTAAAGTGTGTTTCTAGGGGTACCTGGGTGGCTCAGTCAGTTGAGCATCCAACTTCCGCTCAGGTCATGATCTCACAGTTCATAGGTTCGAGCCCCGCGTCAGGCTCTGTGCTGACAGCTCAGAGCCTGGAGCCTCTTTCAGATTCTGTGTTTCCTTCTCTTTCTGTCCCTTACCCACTTGTGCTCTGTCACTCCCTGTGTCTCAAAAATAAATAAATGTGAAAAAAAAATTTTTTAAATAAATAAAGTGTGCTTCTTATAAAGGGCATATTTTTGGTCTTGCTTTTTTACCAGTCTGATAATATCTGCCTTTTATTTGCAGTATTTAGGCCATTTACATTTAAAGTAATTATTAATCAGATGTGCCTTGGTGTGGTTTTCTTTGTTTCCTTGTGCTTCAGTTTCATTGAATCTGGATCTGTTGGTTTCTATCAAATTTGGAATATTTCAGGACATTATTCTTTGAAGTAGTTCCTGTCTCTTCTCATTCTGGGATTTCAATGACATGAACGGTGGACCATTTGATATTGTCTCACAGTCCTTGATGTTCTTTTCTCCCCTCTCTTTTCATTCTTTCTCTGTATTTTCCTTCTGTGACATTTACTCTCTAATATCCACTCCGCTGTAAATCTCATCTAGTTTCTCATTTAAAAGCATCTTCTTTTTCACTCCTGATCCTCTGCATTCTTGAGCACATGGAGAATATTTATAACTGTTTTTATGTCTTTGTCTATTAATTTCCTCATCTCTGTCACTTAGCGATCTGCTTCTATGGATAGATTTTCCCCTTGATTATGAGTAATATCTTCCTGCTTCTTTCCATGCCTATTGATTTTTCTGTAAACAAGATTAACTACTGGTAAAATATATATAACACAAAATATACCACTGTAACCATTTTCTAAGTGTGCAGTTCAGTGGCATCAAGTACATTCACATTATTGTGTGACCATCACTATCACTCAAACTCCAAACTTGCAAAGCTGAAACGCTGTCTCCCGTAAAAAATAACGCCCCCTGCTCCCAGAGTTTGCGTACTCTGGGGACCTCGTATGATTGGAATCGTGCAATATTTGTCCTCTTGTGACTTGCTTATTTCATTTAGCATAACATCTTTAAGGTTCATCCACGTTGTAGTTTGTGACAGGATTTTCCCCCTTTCTGAGTCAGCCTACCGAAATTTATTTATTTATTTATTTATTTATTTATTTATTTATATTTCTTAGTTTAGAGAGAGAAAGAGAATATACAAGTGGAGCAGGGGTGTGGGGAGTAGAGAAAGGGAAGCTCAAGCAGGCTCCACACTCAGTGCAGAGCCCTGCACAGGGCTTGATCCCAGGACCCCGAGATCACGACCTAAGCTGAAATCAAGATTTGAGCACTCAACCAACTGAGCCACTGAGGCACCCTAAGCCTAGGGTGTTTTTTTTAAAAAATTTTAGTGTTTATTTATTTTTGAGAGACAGAGTGCAAGCAGGGGACAGACAGAGAGAGACACACAGATCCGAAGCAGGCTCCAGGCTCTGAGCTGTTAGCACAGAGCCCAACATGGGGCTTGAACCCACGAACCGTGAGATCGTGATCTGAGCCATAGTCGATGCTAAACCGACTGAGCCACCCAGGTGCCCCAAGGCCTACTTATTTTTAGTTGAATGCTAGACCTTGTGGCTTTTACATTGTTGGGTCCCAAATGTTGTTGAATTCCTTTAAAGAATGTGGGATTTTCTGCTAACAGACAGGTTGAACGGATCAAGTGGATCTCTACAAGCTTAACTGTTTTCTAGAACAAAGTACAGCAGTCTTTCAAGAAAGACAATATCTAGTTCCATGTATTACAAGGCCTCCTTCCACGCTGGATTTTTTCCCAGCCCTGTTTGAGTGCCAAGGATTATTCAGTCTATGAGTTCCAAATCAGATTTCTGGGGAAAAAAGAAAAAAAAGAAAAAAACTTCCTTGGGGGCACTAAGCAAAAGGCCAATTAAAAACTTTTTTTTCTCTTTATTTATATTTGAGATCGAGACAGAGAGAGAGGGCAAGTGGGGGAGGGGCAGAGAGAGAAGGAGACAGACTCTGAAGCAGGCTCCAGGCTCTGAGCTGTCAGCACAGAGCCTGACGCAGGGCTCGAACCCATGAACCGCGAGATCATGACCTGAGCTGAAGTCGGATGCTTAACCAACTGAGCCACTCAGGTGCCCCCAAAAGGCCAATTTTAAATATTGTATTGGTATCCATGAAGACTCAAGACACCATAAATCTAGAAACACAGTCCTAATTGACTCATTCCTATAAGAAATGTTATTTATCCTAACATAATATAAACTTCACTAGGATATTACTCCTCATAGGGACATCAGGTTAGCACTTGTCTCACTTAATTCTGTGTAACCTGAGTAATTGTTCGAGGTATCCAGATACTTAAAACCACCACCCCTCAAGTCAATCATGTGTCCCAAAAAAGACGTCCAGAAATTCCTAAAACAAAAGAAACACAAATGATTCTTTTTTTTTTTTTAATGTTTTATTTATTTCTGAGAGAGAGACACACAGCACGAACAGGGGAGGATCAGAGAGAGAGGGAGACACAGAATCTGAAACAGGCTCCAGGCTCTGAGCTGACAGCACAGAGCCTGACGCAGGGCTCGAACCCATGAACCGCGAGATCATGACCTGAGCCGAAGTCGGATGCCCAACCAACTGAGCCACCCAGGCGCCCCAAAACACAAATGATTCTTAAAAACTTCCAGAAGGGATCATTCGTTCTCATTTCCTGCATATCCCACAAAATACAACTCCTACAAAGGGAATGAAACAACTAGAAAAAGTGTTCACACTTTTCTCTAACCTTCACAAAAGTCATAAAAGATGACACTTCTGTTCTGAAGGCCCAACAAACCAATCTGAATGCATCTGAAAGTGGTCATGGCAATCGTAGAAACTTGGATTTGCTCGTAGCCAGGCAAGGGAGCTAACGCTACAGCACATCTTGTTACACGCATGTAAGTGCTATGGGGCAAATAGAATGGTCCATGATTGGCTAAAGAAAAAGACCTGACTCTCTAACAGACCCACTAGATTGTGAGATCTACTGGCTTTGAGGCCTATTATAAGCATTAATTGATAGTCATTTTGTTTGTGTTACTTGTCTATTTTACAATTGATTTCTATGCCCTGTCCAGCGTTTTACAGGCCCTATCCAGCATTTTACTCTTTATTTTAAAAAAAAATTTAATGTTTATTTATTTTTGAGAGAGAGAGAGAGACAGAATCCAAAGCAGGAGTTGACAGCTCAGAGCCTGACACGGGGCTCGAACCCATGAGCCGTGAGATCATGACCTGAGCTGGAGTCGGGTGCTTAACTGACTAAGTCACCCAGGCACCCTTGTCCTGTCCCGAGTTTTAAATGCTACTGCATAGTCTCTGTCACAGCAGGTGATCCAACAATTCATCCTACAACAGAAAGAAAAACAGAGATCAACCTCGGGTCAACTACGGAGTATGTTTAATGCACGTGCTTCTGATCTTAATCACCAACATCTTGACAAGAGTAAAAATCTAGACATCATGAATTAATGTCCTGTAGCCTGATGTCATCTGTCCTTGGCCAAAAGAGAAACCGAGAGGGGGCAAAAGCAGGCCCTGACATCTGGAACTGATCTAACGTTTGTAGCTAGAGCTCAGCGTGATCATGAGCCTGTCTGAGGCTCACAGCCAGGCCATTTTGTTCTGTTGGACGTAAGAACCTTCGTAGACTTAACGGCCTCAGAGGTTACTCTGAGACCAGGGGAAAAAATGAAACAAAACAAAGCCGCCTCATAATTTCATCTAAGAACAGATGCAAATAAGGTCACTGTGCCAGTCCACAATGTGCCCAATGGTAAAACTGTTCCCAGCTTTCCAATAGCACTAGATCTGGACCCAATCCTTGGCTTCCTGGGGCCCTTCACCAAATGTCCCACCCAACGCCCAAATCCCATGACAGGATTTTGCCTAGCACAGGGGCTGTGGAGTGGGTGTGGCCAGGGTTCTGGCTGTGCCCCTAACCTGCTGTGTGCCTTTGTCCTATACACGGTTGCTCTCCGTGCCTCAGTTTCCCCAGATGCAAAAAACCCCAGGAGCATTCTATTTCAAAGGGAGCTGGCCACAAACACAGACTGTTATCATTCTTAACTGTTACTATCATAAATCATCCCAATCAGCACTCAAGATTTGGGCTCCAGAGATGCAGATCTTCCCAGGAGACCAAACGAATCTGGAAGATGACAGTGGCTGGCCAGGGACATCCCTGTCTGCACTCAGCCCTGCTCACTGGCTCTCTGGTCCTTACCACTTCTTCCCTGGCATGAGCTGGGCGGAGTGGGTCAGATGGGAGCTCGGTCCAGGCAGTCGGGGGAGGGCAGCTGTGCTGGCCACAGTCTTCAAGGGTTTGGGCACAGCACCTTGCCAGGCGGGGCCCCAAGTGTCACAGCCACTACTGAGGTTCCTTAAGCCACCCCAGCGGGCCAGGCTAGCTCAGGGCAGGCTAATCCCCCAGGTGAAGCAGAAAGGCTCACAGACCTATCCCCCTTCCGTCTTCTGTGGAACTCCGCCAGCCTCCCCACCCTCCCCTCACACCTACCATGGATGGAAGTATTGTCTTCAGCTGTAATGTCTCTATGACCAACTCCTTCCAGAATCTACAGATTATCTTCTATTTCCACATGGGTGCAGCTTTATTTATATTTAATTATTTTATTAATGTTTATTTCTGAGAGAGAGAGAGAGAGACAGAGTGTGAGCAGGGGAGGGGCAGGGAGAGAGGGACACAGAATCTGAAGCAGGCTCCAAGCTCTGAGCTGTCAGCACAGAGCTCGATACGGGGCTCGAACCTACGAACCGTGAAATCGTGACCCAAGCTGAAGTCGGAGGCTTAACTGACTGAGCCGCGCAGGCACCCCAAGGGTGCAGCTTTTTTTAAAGGAACAGGTGGTCAGACCCCGCCTTCTACCGAGGGCTGAGCCCTACTTTCCATCTTCCCAAAGCAGAAGAGAGAGGATTCCAACAGACACCCTCTCCCATCCCAGCCCCGTGAGGCAGTGATGGATTGCGAGCTCCAATTCACACAGCACCCTTAAACATTTCTTTTTCCATTAAAAAATTAACTAATTTATTTTTATTGTGGTAAGATACACATAACATAAGGTTTACCATTTTAACTATTTCTCAGTGTACAGTTCCACAGCATTAAGTACATTCACACTGTTGTGCAGACATCACTACCAACCATCTCCAGAACTTTCTTCATTCCCTCAAACTGAAACTTCAGACCCATTAAATTATATCTTCCCATTCCTTCTTCTCCCCCAGCACCTGGTGACCACAATCTATCCTTCTGTCTCTATGAATCCGATTATTCTAGGTACTCACAGAAGTGGGATCAGACAGGGGCGCCTGGGTGGCTTAGTCGGTTGGGTGTCCGACTTTCGCTTAGGTCATGATCTCGCGGTTTGTGGGTTCGGGCCCCGCGTCGGGCTCTGTGCTGACTGCCAGCTCAGAGCCTGGAGCCTGTTTCAGTCTGTGACTCCCTCTCTCCCTGACTCTCCCCTGCTCACGCTGTCTCTCCCTCTCTCCTAGAAATAAATAAAACGTTAAAAAAAAAAAAAAAAAGAAGTGGGATCAGACAGTATTCATTCTTTTGTGTCTGGCTTATTTCACTTAGCATAATGTTCTCAAGGGTCATGCACATTGGAGCAAAATTACTGTTTATGGCCTAATAATATCCCATCGTATGTATATACCTATTTGTTTCTCCACTCATTTGTGGGTGGATATTTGATACTTCCACCTGCTGTTGATAATGTTGCTACGAACGGGGTTGTACAGTCATCTGTTTGAGTGCCTGCCTTCAGAAGGTGGAATTTCTGGATCATACGTTAATTTTATATTTAATGTCTTCAGGAACCACCATTTTGTCTGCACTTGGCAGTGTTCTCCATTCCCACCAGCAGTGCGCAAGGGTGCATCGTTCGCACCACTCTGTTTTTGTTTTGTTTTGTTCTGTTTACTAATAGCCATTCTAATAGGTTGTAATGATATTTCTTTGTGGTCTTCCTTTGCATTCCCCTAATGATTAATGATGTTGGGCATCTTTTCAGAAGCTTTATTGGCCATTTGTACATCTTCTATGGAGAAGCTTCTATTTAAATCCTTTGGTTTAAAAAAATTTTTTTTATGTTTATTTATTTTGGACAGAGAGAGAGAGAGACAGCATGAGCAGGGGAGGGGCAGAGAGAGGGAGACACAGAATCCGAAGCAGGCTCCAGGCTCTGAGCTGAGCCTGATGCAAGGCTCGAACTCGTGAACATGAGATCATGACCTGAGCTGAAGTCGGATGCCCAACCTACTGAGCCAGCCAGGCGCCCCAATCCTTTGTTTTTTAGAATGAGATTGTTGTCATTTTTCTGTTGACTTGTAAGAGCTCTTTATATATTCTAGATACTAGACCTTTATCAAATATATGATTTGCAAATGTTTCTTCTCATACTATCGGTTGTCCTTGTACTTTCTTAATGGTGTCCTTTAATGCACAGACATTTTCAAATTTTATGGAGTCCAATTTCTCTGTTTTTCTTTTGTTACTTGTGCTTTGGTGTTATATAGGAATCGACTGCTTAATCCAAAGTCATGAAGATTTACCCCTATGTTTTCTCCTAAAAGTTTTATGGTTTCAGCTCTTCTATTTTGATCATTGATTTAAACATAATTTGTAAATCAGTTAGGGGAAAAGAGAAGATGAAATATGCATTTATATACTTTTTATGCTTGCAGATACCTTTATCAGTTCTGTGTGTGTGTGTGTGTGTGTGTGTGTGTGTGTGTATGAATTTCCATCTGAGTTTAGTTGCTTTCAGCCTGAGGAATATTCTTTAGTATGTCTTTTTTTTAATGTTTATTTATTTTTGGTAGAGAGAGAGTACTCACAAGTAGGGGAGGGGCAGAGACAGAGGGAGTCAGAGAATCCATAGCAGGCTCCAGGCCCGGAGCCGTCAGCACTGAGCCCAATGCAGGGCTTAAAATCATGGACTGTGAGACCATGACCTGAGCCAAAGTCGGATGCTCAATTGACTGAGCCACACAGGCGCCCCCCATTTGATTCTTGTATATAATTTCTTTTTTTAAGTGTGTCTTTATTTTGCGCGAGAGAGGGTGTGCAAGAGGGGCAGAAGCACAGAGAGGGGGAGAGAGAATTCCAAGCAGGCTCTGCACTGTCAGCACAGAGCCTGATGTTGGGCTTGAACTCACAAACCCGTGAGTTCAACCTGAGCCGAAATCAAGAGTCTGGATGCCTAACGGACTGAGCCACCCAGGTGCCCCGAACACAGAATTTTAACATATGTCATTAAGGAAAGGTTTACACGGATCACACAGTCCTAGTGTTAAACACAGAGACATGCCACACAGAATCTAAGACACACTTGCTCTGTTAAACACCAAGTTTCAATACACGTTGTTAAAGAAGTGCATCCATGCCACAGTACTACTAAATACAGTGTTTCACAGAGATATTACCATAACGAATCGATGACACACTGAGCCCCGTGAAATGCAGTGTTTGAACATATCTCAGTAAAGAAATTCACTCACCACCACGCAGTGCTAACAACACTGTTTCACAGAGGAATCATACTGAACCAATCACATGCCAAGCTCTGAAAAAAAAAAGCTTCAACATGTGTCACTGAAGAAAAAGTGCATGTGCCACAGGGCACTAACCACAGTGTATCACGGGGACAGCACTGTACCGAATCCCGGGCATACCTATTGTGTTTAGCAATGCGTGATGGACGGATACCTTGTGGCACATGCTTAAAGTGTTTTAAAAACAGGGTGGGCGCCTGGGGGGCTCAGTCGGTTAAGCATCCGACTTTGGATCAGGTCATGATCTCATGGTTTGTGGGTTCAAGCTCCGTGTTGGGCTCTGTGCTGACAGCTCGGAGCCTGGAGGCTGCTTCGGATTCTGTGTCTCCCTCTCTCTGTCCCTCCCCCGCTCATGCGCACTCTCTCTCTAAAATAAATAAACATTAAAAAAATTAAAAGGAAAAACTATCCTATGATCTAGAAACTATTATTTAAATAAATATGTAAATAAATAAATAAATAAGCAAACATTAAAAAAAAAAAGTTTGGGTACATGATTGATTCCAGAAGGTGAAGACTCTGTGAAAACCTGCTCAGCAGTGGATGGTACACGTCACCAACTGACACGCATTGACATTAGAATAATAGTCAGCCTGTGTGAGCTGTTCCTTGGAATGACATCCCCGTAAGAAAGGGTTTTGCACGTACTCCTTTCTTGATTGATAGAAATGGAACCGTGACATCGCTTGGCGCCTGAATATCCACTATACGATGTCTGTGTGTCGCGCTTGGTTGCGCCCTGTGTGGGGCATTAGCTCCTGACCTCATACCACATGGTGAAGCTCTTCACAAACCTTGGCAGGTGGTGATTGGTTTGGTACATAGATGCGTGTGACCCGCTGTGGGCGTGTAATCCTGTCTTTATCACCATATATCGAAACTCTGCTCGTCAGAGCTCTGTGCGCGACTGGTTCAGTACAGCAACGACTGAATCGCTGTGTTCATCTGTTGAAACTCGGTCTTGCCAGAACTAGCTGCATGTTTTCTTTGTCACGGTCATGGCCCTGTGAACCACTGCGATTAAGAATATATGCATCACGGCCCTTTCACGAAGATGAAACTGAAAGTGAAGGAGGAAGCCCCGCCCCTCCCAAAGCCAAAGCCAGCAAAGGCTTTGAAGGCCAAGAAAGCCGTGCTGAAAGGCATCCAAAGTCACATACCAAAAAGATCTGTATGTCACCTACATTCTGAAGGCAGCCCAAATAGCCTCGAAAGAGCGCCCCCAGGAGGAACAAGCTTGACCACCATTCCATGATCAAGTTCCCGGACTCCCGAGTCAGCTATGAAGAAAATAGAAGGCAACAGCACACTTGTACTCAGTGTGGATGTCAAGGCCAGCAAGCACCAGATCAAACAAGCTATGAAGTTCTATGACATTGACATGGCCAAGGTCAACATTCTGATCAGGCTCGATGGAGAGGAGAAGGCATATGTTCGACTGACTCCCGACTATGATGCTTTGGAAATTGCCAGCAAAACTGGGATCATCTAAACTGAGCCCAGCTGGCTACAGCTAAATATACATTTTTCAACATATAAAAAAAGAATATATGCATCATTTGCTCCTCTGTAGCGGCGTTAGCACACAGATGTGCATACACTCCATTTTTAGTGATCAGTGTTGGCACCCTGCGTTTGAGGGACTATGTGCAGGAGTGATTAAATATAGTGATAGCCGCAGTGATTAACATTGTGTGATTTGTATATTTTATCACTTGTGACATATGTCGAAACTCGGTGTTTTTTAAAAAAATTTTTAAGTGTTTTTACTTATTTTTCAGAGAGGGAGACAGGCAGTGTGAGTACGGGCAGAGACAGAGAGGGAGACACAGAATCTGAAGCAGGCTCAAGGCTCCGAGCTGTCAGCACAGAGCCCAATGTGGGACTTGAACCCATGAACTGTGAGATCATGATCCGAGCCGAAGTTGGACGCTTAACCGACTGAGCCACCCAGGTGCCCCGGTTATTTATTTTTAACAGGGAGTTGTACACACTTTTGACCATCTTCCCCCCCTTTTGAACATTTACTACCACTCACCTCTGGCAATCACCAATCTGTTCTCTGTATCTATGGGCTCAGTTTTTGTTTTTTTGGTGTGTGTGTGTGTGTGTGTGTGTTTTAAGATTCCACCTATAGGTGGGATCATACGGTATGTGGCTTTCTCTGTCTGACTTATATTGCTTAGCATAATACCCTCAAGTTTCATCCATGTTGTTGCAAATAGCAGGGTTTCCTTTTTGATGGCTGAATAATATTCCATTGTATGTATATGTGTGTGTGTATCACATTTTCTTTTTTCATTCATCCATCGATGGACACTTAGGTTGTTTCCATATCTTGGCTATTATAAATAATGCTGCAATGAACATGGTCGTACAGATTTCTTTTAATGTTTGTTTATTTTTGAGAGAGCAAAAGAGACAGAGCACAGTGGGGGAGGAGCAGAGAGAGAGAGAGGGAGACACAGAATCGAAAGACAGCTCCAGACTCTGAGCTGTCAGCACAGAGGCCAATGCAGGACTCAAACTCATGCTGCAAGATCGTGACCTGAGCCCAAGTCGGATGCCCAACGAACGGAGCCACTGAAGGCGCTCCCAGATATCTTTCTGAGCTAGTGTTTTGTTTCCCGCAGATAAGCATCCCGGAGTGGAACTGCTGGATCATACAGTATTTTCTACTTTTAATTTTTTGAGGAGCGTCCATATCACATTCGATAGTAGCGGCACCAATCAGCATTCCCACCAACAGTGAGCAAGGAGTTTCTTTT